TATTTTTTAAGCCTCTAAGTGGTTCTAAATTTATATTAAGGTTGCATGAGCTAGGTCTACCTGAATAATACAGGAGACCTTTAGGATCGTTTGACACGTTTTGGCCTTGAAAATGCACACATTTCTTAGATAAACATCGCAAGTTTTATCTCTTAGAGCCGATTTCTATATTCATGAGGCTATGTCTTCAAAACCAGTGAGCTAGATGTGCCTGTCACTAATAATAAAGAAATGAGTATCGAAAAAGTTAGACAAATTTAGCAAAATGCTTCGGGGGTTAAATCCATTTGGGTATACGTTGGTGGGGCATTAACAACTCTACTTCTGGGGATTGAGCTTGCTCGAACCTGAGGGGTTATTATGCCTCATGTGTTGATGCACACTATTGTACAGCTTTTTGATTAATTTTGAGGTATTTCTCTCCATTTTCAAGTTCTGAAGCAAGTGCCAGCGGTATTCATCCAGGCGGCAAGGTTAACTAGTACTATACTGTCGCACCAGCTATTTTTTGATGGTTTTCCTGGCAAGAGCTGTTCTACTACCCTAAAGAAAGAGTGATAAGGTAAATCAAGAGTAGGATAGCAAGTAACAAAAATGTGGGAGCTGGTTGTTCACCCATCATTACGCATAACGCATGGTAGGCTTTGGAGCCAGTTAAAAGATAACTAACGCAAGGGCGGCCGAGATAAGGCGAAGTGGTGGTCGAAAGTTTCTGGTGGTCCAGTCTGCCAGTGTGACAGTGGCCTCTCTGTCGTTGGTTAGCTTTCGTGCCAATGAAATGGAATTTGGAAATGCGAATGTTTTACTAGCAAAAGCAGTTAAGGAAGAGGATCTGGTTTTCATGATGTCTGTCCACTAGTGTTGCCAATAGTGAGAGGCATATATACCATTTTCACTTTAAACTGGACATTTTTCAAACCAAACTGGACATTTTACAAACCAAACTGGACATTTTGCAAACCACATTGGACATTTTGCAAACCACAATGGACATTTTGCAAACCAAAGTGGACATTTTTCAAACCAAACTGGACATTTTGCAAACCAAAGTGGACATTTTGCAAACCAAAGTGCACATTTTGCAAACCAAAGTGGACATTTTGCAAACCAAACTGGACATTTTGCAAACCACATTGGGCATTTTGCAAACCAAAGTGGACATTTTGCAAACCAAACTGGGCATTTTGCAAAACAAATTGGACACGTTGCAATCTAAGTAGCAACTCGCCAATTTGTTGGTAAGAAACGAGCAGTAAGACTGCTGAATGATGTTCAGCATATACATTGTGATGACGCTAATACACCGGCATTGTGTAAGCAGCGGGCTACACTGTAAAACATTTGCTTGATCATGAGCAGCGACCGAAGTTCTGAACTACGCTCCCCTTTCCCCATTGACATTCGCCTAGTTGGTGTGCAGTGCCCATACGCATCAACCTGTGTTGGTGTGTGACAATTGGAAAATCGGACTTCCGAATCGTAATTGTGTATCAATCATTTTGTGAGTGGATTGCGATGCGCAATCTCAATGTGCACCGTTATTCTCATTAGAGAGAACCTTGTCCGATTCGGTCAATGGGACCATGTCGGATGAAGCAGGTAGGCGGTGTCCCAGCTTCGCCCGTCTCTCTATTAGCTTTCGCACCTGCCACGTTATTGTATCAGCGTAGGCTGTAATGACCCCCAGCAAAACCAGTCTAGAGCTATAGCCTATTGTTGCAACATATCAACTACTGAGGAGTGGGCCGGTTACATGATGTTCAGGCCACATTGTGGTCACGATAATGTAACCGAACTGCGTACGTAGCGGGTGATTGTGTAAGCCCTTCTCTTGACATGAGTGCCGTTCGCATCTTCATAGATGAGAGTGGTTTCAACCTTCATCTGAGGCGAACTCAGGCTCGCTCAAGAAGAGGGACGCGCGCGAAGGTCGTGTTACCCACAGTCAGAGGTCGCATGGTAACCTTGATTGTTGCAATGAATAACCAAGGCGTCATCCATTCAAAGATCATTAACAATGGCACCTGCAATGGTGCGAAGTTCTCAGCGTTCGTCGAGGAACTGGTGGCGCGTATAAGCTGCATAGTGGAGATGAACGGCGCGTGGCTGATCATGGACAATGCCAGGATCTATATGCCTGATGAGCTAAGGAGGATCCTTGGTTCGTCTTATCACATGCAGTTCTTGCCGCCCTACTCGTACATGCTAAACCCGGTAGAACACGTCTTTTCAAAGGTGAAAGCGTCGGCGAGACGCCTGCTTATTAACCCCACACCTGAGCAGACGCTGAGCACGGTCATTCAGGACAGCGTTGGGATGGTAACGCAGCAGGACTGCATGAACTGCGTTCTCAATACAATGATGAACCTGACGAAAGCGACAGCCGGTCAACCCTTCGTCAACTGATCTTTGCTATGGTTACTGCCTTATTTTTTGTTAATACACCATTCCAATTTCAAAATGTGCGTTTTCAATATTAACAGTTGGCTTAGCGTGTAAGAGCAGGACGGTCACCGAGAATTCGAGAGCGTACGCCTGTCGGCTAGCGATTGTCGTGGCACTGTTGACTCGGTCGAGCTCGTAATGACACTTTTTGAGAGTTATCTTTAGTCTTCTGAGGGCGTTGAAGACAGAGGATACTGATAGGTTTATCCCATTCTCTCTCAGGCGCATCTGCAGCTGCACCAACGTGTCCTCAGAGTGCCGTTCAACCGCTTCTTCGACACGCTGCAATACATTGGGAGTCAGCTTCTCCCTATTGTTTCCACCGCAGGTGCGCTGTGTATTTGAGCCTTCTCGCTTGTTGGCATTAATGATGTTCCTTGCCGTACTCGCGTTAACACCGGCGACTTCAGCGGCTTCTCGAGTAGTTTTGCCGTCGACCAGCACAAGTTTTGTGAGAATTTCTCTTTGCGCAAATGATGTTCGCCTGCAGTGCCGTCGCGTCGGACACCAGCTCTTCTGTTGTTCGTCACTCATTTTGGTCGTTTCGTGCGGCACGGAGATAATAAAGCTAAGTTGGGTTGAGTGGAACCATTATCGTATGCTCGGCTCCAATAGTGGTACCGCTGCATACGTCGGTCCACACACCCAGACAAAACACGGATTCCTATGGGGGGGGGGGGTGTAGGGGAAAATATGTCACCGATTTTGACCGAGGCGAACGGCACTCATGTCAAGAGAAGGGCTTACACAATCACCCGCTACGTACGCAGTTCGGTTACATTATCGTGACCACAATGTGACCTGAACATTGTGTAATCGGCCCACTCCTCAGTAGTTGATATGTTGCAACAATAGGCTATAGCTCTAGACTGGTTTTGCTGGGGGTCATTACAGCCTACGCTGATACAATAACGTGGCAGGTGCGAAAGCTAATAGAGAGACGGGCGAAGCTGGGACACCGCCTACCTGCTTCATCCGACATGGTCCCATTGACCGAATCGGACAAGGTTCTCTCTAATGAGAATAACGGTGCACATTGAGATTGCGCATCGCAATCCACTCACAAAATGATTGATACACAATTACGATTCGGAAGTCCGATTTTCCAATTGTCACACACCAACACAGGTTGATGCGTATGGGCACTGCACACCAACTAGGCGAATGTCAATGGGGAAAGGGGAGCGTAGTTCAGAACTTCGGTCGCTGCTCATGATCAAGCAAATGTTTTACAGTGTAGCCCGCTGCTTACACAATGCCGGTGTATTAGCGTCATCACAATGTATATGCTGAACATCATTCAGCAGTCTTACTGCTCGTTTCTTACCAACAAATTGGCGAGTTGCTACTTAGATTGCAACGTGTCCAATTTGTTTTGCAAAATGTCCAGTTTGGTTTGCAAAATGTCCACTTTGGTTTGCAAAATGTCCACTTTGGTTTGCAAAATGTCCACTTTGGTTTGAAAAATGTCCAGTTTAAAGTGAAAATGGTATATATACGTGATAAAGCTAAGTATATGGGGCCAAGAGTGGATAAGTGCAGAGCAAAATGTCTGATTCTTGAGCCTATAACTTTGAAGTGCTCTCTTTGTCGACGAGATGAAAGATTATATATATATATATATATATATATATATATATATATATATATATATATATATATATATATATATAATTTCCTGTATATATACCACTTGTAGTTGGATACGGTGGAGTAAAGTAGCTAGTGCTTAATCTTAGAGAAAACGCATCAATTAAGGCCAGCTAACAACTGACATCTACGAAGTACTTAAAGGTACATCCAAAGCCGGTATTTAGACAGTTTTGGACAATTCTCGGCGGGTGGCCGAGTGGTCTGCACGTTTGATTTGCAACTATAAGGTCACCGGTTCGAATCTGCGTAGGGGTGGGCGTCCTCGCGGTATACTCAGCCGGTGCGCGACTGGTGGTGGTCGCGCGGCAGCGAAGCGCCGTTACGGCGTGCAGCTGACGCATTATTTTTTATTTTATTTTTTTTGTCTTAGGTGTATGAGGTGAGTAACACCTTTTCTATTTTACCGCGGTCCGATTCAGTTCCAAAGCCTTGTTGACTTGTCCCGCAACGGTTAGAGACGCATTGAAGCTCCACCTCAAGTAGAGGTGAAGTCCCGTGGCATGAAAGATCAAAAACCTGTCTTGTAATCCTGAGGTCAAGAGTTCGTGCCTGAGTAATGGACCGGGCGACTCTCGCAGTATCCTTAGCCTATGTGCCATTGGTTATAGTTGCGCAGCAGCGAAGCGTCGGTACTAAGTACCGGCTTACTGCTGATGCCTTTCCCTCAATGTTTCCAAACTCCTCGTATATTGAGCACAACTTACCCGTCTTAACTGCTATTCTCGTAACTTATTCTCCGGCTGTGTTGAATTAAACTGTAGTAGGTTTCGAAGTGCATGCTTCCCACTGTCAGGTCTGCATTGCTCACTTCTCGTCAAGTATTTCGTTCCTCGTCGTACTTCCTTGTCTGCAAGTTTACCTCCTCATCCTACTCCCTCTTCTGCTCTTCACACGTACAACAGGACAGAGCTGAGCTGCTGCATCGCCATCGATTTCACCGCCAGCAACGGAAGTCCTCAGGTACCTGGCACTCTACACTACAGCACCATCAATCATCCTTCGCAATACGCCATGGCTCTGCAAGCTGTTGGTGAGGTTATCAGTGACTACGATAGGTGAGCAATTGCTGTTGTTCCTTTTATGTCCTCGGGGCAGTTCTATCAGCTGTGCATATTGTCGGAAAACGCTGATTACCTTACTGCATCGGTTTGCACATTTACTTATGCTTTATTTCTGTCAGCTCAATATCTTTCACTTCCGCTTGCATTTACAAACTACTCGGAGCGCTTGTCATTCGGCAATTTTTTCGAGATGAGAACCACTGTTCTTCATCTATGAATGGTGTTGCTCTCACACCTTCCCCCCCCCTACTTGCTTTCGCAGCGATAATCTCTTTCCTGCCTTCGGATTTGGTGCCTGTGTGCCCCCGGACAATGTGGTCTCACATTGCTTCCCTCTAGTGAGTTCCAACTCTAAGTCGATACAGTTTTGTCGCATTCGTGCCCTCGGAAACGCTTCATCGACTTCAATTCATGCTCCCTGCTCGTTGGAGATAGCTTCTGATTTTTTTCCCCGGTCAAGTGTTATCTGATGCTGAATTGGCTCGGTATGCGAAACACGAACTAAACTGGTCAGATGTTAAGTAAATTTTCTAACGGTGGATATGATTCGTGTTTAGGGCCGAATATCAACTGATCATTGGTATTACAATTACAACAGCCTCACTAGCGAACGCACTGACCAAAGACTTTACACTTCCGTTATAAAAGTACAGTAGTTCCTATGAAGCTGACCACCTCTCTAATTTGACCGTATTTTTCATAGTTTGTACATTCATGTAATCCTATGGAACCAGACCTCTGTAGGGCTGCATGTTGACCACTTGGGTCATAACAGTCAGCATTAAATTAACCTCTGTAATTTGACCATGTGAAGGTTTACTGTGTAATGGTTGCCGAACGATCGTGTATGTAGCGGGATTTTGGAATATGCGAAATTCTTCTGACCTACAACCACATTGCACTTTACGGCTCCGCAGGCGTTCGACGATGCAACATGCTTTCTGCCTGCGTTTGTGCTTGTGCATCTTAACCCCGCCCCTCAGTGTTCACGTGCATCGGTGTTTACCTCGTATTACATTGTCCCCAAAGATCCACGTCCGCAAATCGACCTTGACAGTTTTTGTGGGAAATCTTTCCTCACACAAGTACACATCACGCCTATTCTTTTTAACATGCGCACGCGTTGCACCGGTCGCAATCAGGAGTTTCCGTGCTTGTTGGGGCATTCGTCCCACCTTGGCAATTGCTGTACTACTCGTTTCTCTAGCAATACATGCCTTTGCTGAAAATTAATATGCAACGATTAGCCGGTTCGAAGCTAACCCACTCAACACTTGTTCATTAACCTCTTGGATCGTAGTCACATTGAGGTTTCTGTCCACTGATCGTTAAACGTTATTCCGCGCTATTTGTTGTCTACCTGAGAGCTCAAACAATTAAGGGATGTTATCGTAAATAACTCATGTTCTGTAAATAGTACCCTAACTCTTGGAGCCACTTCGTGCTTTGAACAATGTGGGATCTACTATTACGCTTATCACGGCGTTATGGCCCGAAAAAAAACAGCGTGATGACGCTGAAGGTGGAGGTAAATTTGCTACATTTTCTGGAAAGCCGCAGCCAAGGGAAGACGGTAGAACCGTTTAATGTTAACAAGACAACTGTTAAAAACCTCCAACAGCATAAGGATGAGTACTTGGCACGATATGATAATATAGTTAAAATTTCATCACATCTAGATTCACTCCGATAGCAATCACACGCCCGGCAGAGCACTGTACGACCATCTAATCTTTTCGAGAATCGTTAACAGTGCGCCCTCCATCTCACCCTAGTAGGGGGCTATATCACATCTAGTGACTTATTCACGATGGTCTTTATCGTCCCCCGTAGCTCACTGGTCTCAACCACGGACTGGTAACAGTCAAGTTGCGTGCTCGAGCCCTACCAGGGTGAGATGGAATGCACACTGCTGACGATTCCCGAAACGGCCGTATAGTGCTTTTCCGAGCGTGTGATAGCTGTCTGCGTGAGTCTAGATGTGACGAATTTCTACCTATGCCATTCAGCTCCCCCTACTACTCCTCTGTAATATGATAACATATTTTTCGTTGTGTGATTGCTCGGCTAATATATTCGAGACATTGTGTACGTGAAAATATATCCCTACTATACTACTCACAGCGGAAAAGTAAGATACGCTAATTTTTTGTTGGAGACCTCTGTATTTTGGCCATTTGTCCAGACCGTTGAGTGGTCAAATTACGGATGTTTTACTGTAAGTTATTCTTGACTGGTCATCTGTTTCGCGTCGGATATCTGGGCTATATATCGGGAGTGACGCGAACTGTTGTTTAGACGAAGCTAAACCGGAAATCATCGCGTTCTTCGACCTCTAGCCCTTGGAACACTCACTTTAAACACTAAAAGTCTCGTCGGAATTGTTTTACTAATCAGGTAGCTTTTCACACAATTTCCATCCGAAGCTCGGTACTTCACTCTCATTCATGCATGAAACATACTAAAAAAATTATTTTCAATTTAGCGTTACTGATTGAGAATTGTTCAATGCCCAAGTGGTGGAACTTCCACTTTTATGGTAGCTATGTTTTTCGGCTCTTTACGTTCTGTGGGCGGTGCACGCCAACAAAAATCGATGCTTCAGACGAAACTGCGCCTCTCGGTCCACGTATGGAATCTGATGTCGGCCTATATCGCCGACTATGTGTAGGGTTGTCGGGTCTGTGTGTCTCTGTCCAAAGCTATTCGAGTATGCAAAGATGAGCGATTAGCTGGAGGTAATCACAACCACCAGCGCAGATGTTGTCATCCTTCCCAGTGGTTTGTGTTGCGCCATGGCGCTCACTCACGTTTCAGTCTAGACAGGTGTTGTACCTTCGATTTTAGTTTGCAAAGTCTGTCCGGGGCGGAACCGGACACATCTTTTACTCTGCATGAAGATGATGTTCTCACTAGACACTGGCATTCTATAGTTTCGTTATTTGGGGGCCATTTCATATACCTGTTAGTGAGCCTTTGACCGAGTGAGTGGTATATCTCAGATTTGTTCGTTTCTCTCAAGAGCCTACTGCCTTATTGGTTGCAGCTCCATGCGTGACTGCTTGGGTCATCGTGGTCTGCCTGTGCCTCCAACGCACGTGCGGCAAACACAGCGTTCACATGACTCCAGCCTGAATTGCGGTGACAGGCAACATTCTTCTGAACGTGCTATTTTCCACTCGAACTGAGCGCAGTTTTGACCAATTCCTTCATCACTACTGTGGGATAGCCGCTCACTTCTGGTAGGAACACTGTGTGAGCAATGAGCTAGTTTGGCGTCTCGTATTTGGTTCAGGAACAGCGAGTGAACCACCCACCACCATTATTTCACGCACCAGGCTCCGATGGCCGGGCCACTTGTTGCACATGCCAGCACACCTACTCCCGCGACGTGTGTTGTTTGCACGCCGAGAGTGCGATTGGGAGATGACCGGAGGCTACGTAATAACTTGATCAAGAGGAGTGAAGACCTTCATTTCGTATTTGGCGTCAGTTGGTATCTCCGGGCTGGACTCCCAAGGACCATGAACAAGTCTGGTTGGGTACACTAGCTAACATGGCGAAGAGCCGGCCCAAATGGCGTTTGTGTTGTGAGTTTCTTTGTCTCACCTTCTCCCGCTTCGTTTCCCTTCTAACCACAATCTCTGTCTTGAAGCACAATATGTTACTGAGGGGTTTACCATCTGTTTCTTGCGTTCTATAATATTTGTTATCTGGATTTTTCGTATGTTTATCTTTTGTATTGCGGCACATGAACTAAAGTGTGTTTCCCATCTTGAGCTTGGGTGGAACATTCACCCATCAGTAGACACGTTATCCAAGTGATTGTGCTATTGTGTGTGGCTTTCGCACACACGTAATCCCAGAGATTGTTCGGAAAACGGTTCACATTTTTAAGTTCGAGTCAGGCATTCACTCGCATCACTGTCTTGCTAATTGTTCCTGTGACAGTCTGCTCCAATAAGTATAGTTTTGTCTTAGTTAATGCCACACTCATTTTTACAGTTATGGCTACATTTTCGTCACTTTCACTGGTGGTGCAGCTGACCTCAGGATACACAGTAATCCACGTCACAAATGATCAGCTAGCCGTATTGAACGTTTTTTGACGTTACTTGCAACGTATCCTTTTGTTTATCATCAAAATGACCATCGACTGTAGGGAACCGGCTTTCCGAAACGCAATCCCCTTATTGACAAACTCTTCACACCATTTCTTGGTACTCTGTCCGTCACGAATGGTGATACCGCATTCAGTGGGGTTGGTAGGGGTGAAGATGCTACTGCTGAAGTCTTCCCCGTCTTCTCAGTTCCCCTACTTACGCTTTTTCATTCTTGTCGTCTCATTCCAACTTCAATTTTTGCTCCCCATAGTTTTTGACTCCTCAATTTTTGAACCTATCTCATTTTGCCTTGACAGGCAATTTCGGAATGTCACTTCTACCCTGTCGACAAGTTCTTGCCTTATCATGCGGAAAATCTCAGTTCATCCGTTCCTCTTTGGGGCTCCTGATCCTCGCTAAGACTATCATACCTCCACGTGCACACTTCGTTACAGGTTGGCCAGCAGGCAGCAGTTGCCTAAACACTGGAGACCCTGTCGATCGATATTTTCTGTTTATCGAAAACCCGTCTACAAGATTCGAACTGTGTGCTTACCGTACGATCCACCACAAACGACACTGGCGGCACTTTCTCAATGTGCTTGTCTGGGCTGATGCCGCTACAAAAACCGGGCTGAATCCCATGGTCGATTGAATCCTAATCAGTAGCCGAATATGCTCCGTCAGATTGGCCGGCTCCTTCAAAGCTTTTATTCGCGCGTGGAGAAACGTGGCCTGTTTGTCCTTGCTGCTTACGCCTCTACAATCTGTAGCGCTGACTCCGTGAGAGACACCAGCCAACTGGCGAAGCTACATGTGCTGAACGCGCATCAAATTATATCGGCGTCAGAGTTGAGCAAGCGCTCACTGAACGTCGAATGTCACTGATCGCATATCGGCTACAAGTTCTTAATAGCGGACATATATTCATGCTTCAAATCTGATTACTGACATGCACATTGGGTCCTACGCAGCCTCTGGAACCAGATGCCCATCAACACATTCCGGCTAGAAGTGAACACTACGAGACTCGCAAAGATTTCAAAACGAAACTGCATGCTAGCCTAAAGGGAGACCGCGAAGCCTGCCGGTCTGGCCGGGCTCCGAAGCTGAACGCAGCTGCCGTGCTTGGTAACTATCGGACGTTATTCTGTCCGACACAAGAAACGAGTAGCAGGAGGCCTTGTGTGTTCGCGAGACTATATGCGATGAGAGTGGACACCCTATCCACAACC